TTGTTACAACCTATTATGGCATTGGGACAGTTCATCTTTAGCTCAGTGACATAAATTTCTCCTCTTTGCTCTTTTTTTTTTTTTTTTTTTTGAGTTGAAGTCTCACTCTGTCACCCAGGCTGGAGTACAGTGGCATGCTCATGGCCGCCACAGCCTTGACCTGCTGGACTCAGGTGATCCTTCTGCCTCAGCCTTCCAAGTAGTATGTGCCACCATGCCCGGCTAATTTTTTTTTTTTTTTTTTTTGCCCAGGCTGGAGTGCAATGGAATGCTCATGACTACCACAGCCTCCACCTGCTGGGCTCAGGCGATCCTCCAGCCTCAGCCTTCCAAGAAGCTGGAACTACAGCATGCCCAACTAATTTTTTGATTTACTGTAGAGATGAGGTTTTACCAAGTTGCTGAGGCTGGTCTCAAACCCCCGGGCTCAGGCAATCCTCTTGCCTCAGACTTCCAACGTGCTAGGATTACAGGTTTGAGCCACTGTCCCCAGCTAATTTTTTGATTTATTGTAGACATGAGGTCTTGCCAAGTTGCCCAGGCTGGTCTCGAACCCGTGGGCTCAAGCGATTCTCTCACCTCAGCCTCCCAAAGTGCTGGGATTATAGACATGAGCCACTGCACCCAACCTTCCTCTCTGCTCTTTAGACCACAAGTCTTCAATGTCCAGCTCCTGCCTAGTGGGAATCGGGTGAGCAAGCTGACCTCCTTTGCTGAGCACTTGGTGCTTTTTACCCCAAAAGTCAGTCCCAGTGATGTGAGTTCACTTGGTGCTACCACTTGGTGAAAGTTAATGAGGCATAAAGGGAAAACACACACATACACACAAACACACATACCCCGGAATGTAAAAAATCACAGAGTAAAGCCACAAACAAACTGATAGAGATATTTTAAGTGTTAAGTCCCAAGCACTTAAGGCCATTAGGGGTAGTTTTGCCAATTGAGTATCCTACTGACTGGGTGGACCCCCTATCTATTTCTTGACCACCAACATCCCAACCTTGTCATCACTTTTAGGAGCTCTGAGGGATTTGGGGGCTGATGTAGGAAAAATCTATGACCTGGAAAGGAAGTAACATACAAGTTTTATTGGGTAGTATTGGGACAGGGTTGCATGAGAAAGGAATTTTCTCAGATCATGAGACCCTTTAGGGACTTATGGAGCAGGGACCATCATCTAGAAGGGTAAAAGGGTAAGGGAGAGGGGAACTTGAGAGGGAGCTTACATGTCTAGATGATATTGTTCAGCAGCACAGCAGGGAGTGTGTGGGTCACAGAACTCTGAAGGATCATGGTAGCTTGTGATGTTATACCCAACCACAGAGGTCTATCTCATTAATGGCCAGTAGATGCTAGATGAGGTTTCACAGGATATGAAAAAGAAGACTGGCTCTAAATCACTAAGAATTTGCTTGTTTGGATTACTTTAAAGTAAATGGAGGTGGATGCAGTGGTACAGGTTGGTAATACCAGCTACTCGGGAGGCTTAGGCAGGAGGACCCCTTGAGCCTAGGAGTTCGCGGCTGCAGTGAGCTATAATACCATTGCACCCCAGCCTAGGCAGCAGAGCAAGATCCCATTTCTGACTAAAAAAAAAGGATGTGTAAAACTGTGAGTTTGTGAACTAATGAGTCTCAGCCAGCAGTGAAAAAATGAACAACTTAAGGACCAATACACAGAGGACATCTATAGCTCATTTATATAACACACCTCTACCTTCCACTATACCAAAATACATTCCTCAAGGAGTAGAGACTTAAAGTTTTAAAAAGCAATAAAACTTGGAAGACAAAATAGGAAAATATTTTTGTACTTTAGAAAATATTTTTATTCTCTATTTGGGAAGAGTTTTAAAAGCAAACTAAGGCTGGGTGTGGGTGGCTCACGTCTGTAATCCTCGCACTTTGGGAGATCAAAGTGGGAGGATCCTGAGCCTGCGGGTTCAAGACCTGCCTGGGCAACTTGGCAAGACCTCATATCTACAATAAATCAAAAATTAGCCAGGCATGGTAGCACACGCCTGTAGTTCTGGCTACTTGGAAGGCTGAGGTGAAAGAATCGCCGGAGCCCAGCAGGTAGAGGCTGCGGTGGCCAGGAGTGGCCACTGCACTCCAGTCTGGGCGACAGAGTGAGACTCCAACTCAAAAAAAAAAAAAAGTGGGAGGATCACTTGAGCCCAGAGTTTGTGACAAGTCTGGGCAATATAGCAAGAGTTCATCTCTACGAAAAATAAAATAAAAAAACTAGCTAGCCATGGTGGCACATGCCTGTAGTCCCAGCTACTTGGGTGGCTGAGGCAGGAGGCTTGCTTGAGCCCAGGAGCTGGAGGCAGCAGTGAGCTGTGATTGTGCCAGTACTGCACTGGCACTCCAACCTGAGTGACACAGTGAGATCTTGCCTCAAAAATAAATAATTTTAAAATGCCAGGCTTGGTGGCTCAGCCTGTAATCCCCGCACTTTGGGAGGCTGAGGCAAGTGGATTGCTTGAGCCCGTGGGTTTGAGACCAGCCCGGGCAACTTGGCAAGACCTCATCTCTACAATGAATCAAAAATTAGCTAGGCGTGATAGCACACGTCTGCAGTTCTGACTATTTGGAAGGCTGAGGCAGAAAGATTGCTGGAGCCTAGCAGGTCGCGCTGAGGTGGCCGTGAGTGTGCCACTGCTGGGTGACAGAGTGAGACTCCAATTTTAAAAAAGTATAGATTCATTGGGGTATACAAAGTACTTTATAGATATGATACAACTAGGTTTATGAAGCAAAATCATGTCATCAACTCAATTGTTGCATACACATTTAATAGCATTCATCAAAAAGTATTTTATTTACTAATTTAGTTTTGAGTCAGAGTTCACTTGGTTGCCCAGGCTGGAATGCAGCAACATGCTCAGCCACCTCAGCCTTGAACTGCTGAGCTCAGGCAATCCATCTGCCTCAGCTTTCCAAGTAGCTGGAACTACAGGCGCGAACCACCACGCCTAGATAATTTTTTGATTTATTGTAGAGATGAGGTCTCGTCAATTTTTTGATTTATTGTAGAGATGAGGTTTCCTGACCTGGTCTGGAAACCCTGGGCTCGGGCAATCCTCTGGCCTCCACCTCCCAAAGTGCTGGAATTACAGGTGTGAGTCACCACACCCAGCAGCATTCATCAAGAATTATTAATAAAACATTTTCTTTTCTTTTTTTCCCCCAAGGTCTCAGTTCAAGTTTAATAGGAACTACTACAAAAGATCAGTAGGGTGATGCCAACTACTTATACATCATACGAATCAGATGGCCTGTCTTGTAACATACCACATCTCAGCTGAATCTAAAGCCTTGTATTTTATGCATGAAAAAAAAGTACAAAAGAGGTTTTTGTTCTCATAGCTGCCCAGTGCAGCTCGGCACTAAAACGGCCCAGCGCTCACTTCTGCTTGGAGAAATATTCTTTGCTCTTTTGAACATCAGGCTTGATGGTATCACTGCCAGGCTTCCAGCCAGCTGGGCACACTTCCCCATGTTTGTCAGTGAACTGGAAGGCTTGAACTAGTTTCAGAGTCTCATCCACAGAGTGGCCAACAGGGAGATCATTTACAGTGATCTGCCGAAGGATACCCTTATCATCAATGATAAAGAGGCCCCTGAATGAGATGCCTTCATCAGCCTTTAACACTCCATAATCCTGAGCAATGGAGCGCTTGGGGTCTGATACTAAGGGAATGTTCATGGGTCCCAGTCCTCCTTGTTTCTTAGGTGTGTTGATCCAAGCCAGGTGACAGAAGTGAGAATCCACAGAAGCACCAATAACTTAGCAGTTGAGTTTCTTAAATTCTTCTGCCCTATCACTGAAAGCAATGATCTCCGTGGGGTACACAAAGGTGAAGTCAAGAGGGTAAAAGAAGAACACAACATATTTTCCTTTATAGTCAGACAAGCTGATATCTTTGAACTGACCATCTGGCATAACAGCTGTGGCTTTGAAGCGGGGGGCAGGGTGCCCAATTTTAGCATTTCCTGAAGACATCTTGCTCTCAGCAGATCCGACACAAAAGTCGCTGAAACAGAAACCACCAGCACCAGCTAGGAAGAGGACCTAATAAAACATTTTCATTAACTTGATAAAAGCTGCAGTCTATAGTAAACAGCTTACTAGAGAATCTTGGTGATCATTACTAACCAAGATAAAAATGCTTAATTTCTTTCTGACTCGTAACGTGATTTAGGAGGTCCTGTACAATGAGACAAATATATGAGTTACAAATATAACAAAAATGCCTAAAACTATGTGTCCTGTGTATAGGGCTGTAGCAACATAGAGGAGGATAGGTATAAACGCAATTAATGAGCACCCTGAATCCTTGGTCCACGAGAGCCTGGCTGGGAGGCCCTAACCGGAGTCCCGCCCTCAGACCTAGTCCCCTAAGATCTGCCCCCAGTCCTCATCCCCACCCTCTAGAAATTTTCAGCTAAGCCCCGCCCCACCCTTCGGAATATTTTTAAAGCCCCTCCTCAGCCCACGCCACAGGCTGAATCCACCGAGTCTAGTCCCGTCTCAGCCCGGTGCAGGGTTCTCGTTCTTCTCTCTTTACCCCAGATGCTGAGGAAGTTAGTATTCCCAACCCGCCAGCTGCTAGAGCCCGCCTTCGCCCGCCTTCGCCCGCCTCCGCGCTACGGGCCCTCCCGCCTGCCTGACTCCGCCCCAAGTCCCCTGTTCCCGAGGCCCCGCCCCTTACGCTCTTCGCGGCGCGGAAGCCGGAATCGGAAAGCGCGCGTGTGCGCACGCGCAAGCTTGCGGCCGGGCCACCTCGCGCCTCCAACTTCGTCTCAGGTAAGTTTTGGCCTCCATCGGCTTCCCATCCGGCCTGGTCCCTCCCGCTCGCGTTGGCTGGAGGCGGAAGGTTGGGCCTGAGGGTAGGCAGGCAAAAGGCGGCCTCCCAGGCGGCGCCCGCGGAGACCCGCGACCGGGGCCTCCTGCCGCCGCGGCGCCTCCTCTGAGAGCCAGGGGTCAGGCCGTCCGGGTGATTCTGATGCAGGCTAGGGTTGGAGAGCTACTGTCGTATTTAATCAGCCTTCAAAAGCGTCCTTTGCTCTCTTTTCAGAAAGGAACATCGTCTCTGTCTTTCGGGTCACGGGATCAAGCACCTCATCCTCGTTCTCTGTGTGCTGAGCTGTGGATTTCGGCGTGTTGGGTGAGCACGGGGTGACATTTGCCTCAAACTCGGTCTCAGACTCTTCCCTCTTTAGGCACTAGATAGTATTTTATTTTAGATCCAGAGCGTACACACAGTGTTCGCTCCATGGCATATTGTGTACTGGTGGGGATTGGGTCTCGGGTGGCCCATTGCCCAGATAGTGAACATTGTGCCCCGTGGGTAGTTTCTGAACCCTAACCCCCCTCCCGCAGCATTAGGCAGTATTTAGGGACTGAATTGTACTCTGCCGGTGGACATCAGTTTGATACATTGTATTTAGGTACATAAAGGTGAACTGATTTTTAAATATCTTAACTCCCCCTCCTTGACAAATGCAGGTTTGTCATTAATAAAATGATACATTTGAATCTTGTATCTATAGATTTGTTAGATTTCACACAGAAAATGTGGTTACCTGCAAGTTTTTCCTTTTTATTCCTTGCAGTTTCGATTTCTTTTTATTTCTTTACTGGGCTTGCCTGGACCTTTCAAAGTAGAATAGCATATAATTTGCATCCTTATCTTGTTCCAGATCTCAGAGGGAACTGTTCTACCATTTCATCATTAAATAAATAGGATGTTTGCTGTAGCTGTTTGTAAATTTTATTATTCTAGTAAAACCTTTTTTTGCCTTCTGGTCTTTGTAGTGGGCTAACTTAGATTACTCAATTATAAACTGGTTGTAATAATATCTGATTTGCAGAGTTTCTATAATAAATACATAAAATATGAGAATCTCTTTGCAGAGTCTCTCACATTGTGGTTGCTCAGATGGAAAAAAATACAGTAAAGAATGTTACAATTTTTTATTGACTTTTAAAGATGTTACTTGTTCCACTGCAGTGGAAGTAACTGTTGAATTTTCATTGTTTGAAATTTATGAAACAGCACTGCACATACAGCTATCAAGGATGACATAACATAGGTCAAGTATTCTTACTGTGCTACTAGTGCACTGTGACAGGCAATTTTATCATTAAATCACAGTGTAACAGTCTTCTCTGCACCCTGCATGTAGAATTCAATGGGTTGACGCTCTTTCTCAGAAACCAGGAACCTTATAGTTTGGGGAACCTTAAAGTTCTTGGGGGCAAGGACAGTGATCAGGGGCTGAGATGTAATGTCTGCTAGCCAGCCAAGGGATGCAGAAGCAATAAATATTGGGTATGGAACCTCCAAAACCTGGTATATAAACCTGGTACTTTCTTGGATTTGAAACAGGGAGTGTATGTTCTTTTTTTTTCTCGGAGTCGGAATCTCACTCTGTCACCCAGGGTGGAGTGCAGTGGCACACTCACGGCCACTGCAGTCTCAACCTCCTGGGCTCAGGTGATCCTTCCACCTTAGCCTTCCCAGTAGCTGGAACCACAAACATGTGCCATCATGCCTGTCTAATTTTTCTTGATTTATTGTAGAGATGAGGTCTTGCGAAGTTGCCTAGGCTAGTCTCGAATTTGTGGGCTCAGGCAATACTCTCACCTCAGCCTCCCAAAGTGCTGGGATTATAGGCGTGAGCCACTGCACTTGGCTGAGTGTATTATATTATGATTGAAAGACTCCTTGATAATTTTATGCTTTTTTTTGTTACCATGTGCAATTGACAGCCAAACTTTTTTATTTTTCAGTTAACCTACTTGCAAAATAGCACTCTTAAATCTCTTTTTATGATAAGCCAGGACCAGAGCACTGTTTTCTAGCTCTAGGAGAGATAAACTTGATCTGCTTTCATATAAGAGCAGGGTATATTTGCTTGCGTATTTTGGAGTGTGTGTGTTTTGAAGGGAATTATTATTTATAATGTTTTTTTTTTTTTTTGAGTTGGAGTCTCATTCTGTCACCCAGACTGGAGTGCAGTGACCGCTCCCGGCCACCGCAGCCTCAACCTGCTGGGCTCCGGTGATCATTCCGCCTCAACCTTCTGAGTAGCCGGAATTACAGGCGCGTGCTACCACGCCCAGCTGATTTTTTGATTTATTATAGAGATGAGGTCTCGCTGCCCAGGCGGGTCTCGAACCCGCAGGCTCAGGCAATCCACTCACCTCAGCCTCCCAAAGATGCGGGATTACAGGCTGAGCCACCGAGCCCAGCTTTATTATTTATAATTAATGTTCTGCAACATCTGGGTTCATGAGTATGGGAATTGTGGGGAGGTCTGAATTCTCATGTCATCTTCTGTCTTACCTCTAACTTCTCGATATTCTGCTTTTCTTCATGAAGGGGACATGGAGGAAGAAAGAATAGCTGCTGAGTTACAGAAAAATATGATACAGGTCAGTAAAAAGCTATAATTCTCCAAAGAATACTTTCATTCCTTCATGTCTCCTTCAAGTTATTTTATACCAATGGTCAGCAATCTGTTTCTGTATTGGACCACATAGTAATTTAGTCTTTGAAGGCCAAAGAGTTTCTATTGCAATTCAACTCTGTCATTTTAGTACAAAAAGCAGTCATAGATAGTACCTAAACAGGATGTTTTACAATGTTCTAATAAAACTTGGTGCCACCTGGCAGCAGCCTGGATTTAGCCCAGTTGCCACAGTTTGCTGACCTCTGGCCTAGAACACAAGAAAATATGGCTGGCTGTGTGCTTGACTTGAAAGTTGTGCTCGTACAGACTCCTGGGCCTCTCAGGTTTGTGAGGGGGGAAAAAAAGAAAAACTTCCATTTACTCAGTGTATTTTTATTCATTAAAAGTCCATTGAAGGCCAAGTATAGTGGCTCATGCCTACAATCCCAGCACTTTGCGAGGCCAAGGTGAGTGGATTGCCTGAGCCCATGGGTTCAAGACCAGCCTGGACAACTTGGCAAGACCTCATCTCTACAATAAATCAAAAAATTAGCTGGGCCTGATGGCGCATGTCTGTAGTTCCAGCTATTTGGAAGGCTGAGGTGGAAGGATTGCCTGAGCCTAGCAGATCGAGGCTTTGGTGGCCGTGAGCCACCACACTCCAACCTGGGCAACAGGATTTGACTGAGAAGTATGTGTGGATAGAATAGGACAGAGATCTGATGACTGAGTCCTATAGTAGATGCTGGGAGACCACAGAATATTCTGAACTTTCTATTACTCTCACTTGCCTCATGTTGTTAGCCTCATCTGTCCTCCTGCAGACATTGGAGGAATTGTACCTTTCTGAACAGAATTTGTGGAATGTTTTAGGACTCAGTGGTCTTTGAGGATGTGGCTGTGGACTTTACTCAGGAGGAATGGGCTTTGCTGGATCTTGCTCAGAGGAACCTCTACAGAGATGTAATGCTGGAAAATTTCCGGAACCTGGCCTCACTAGGTAAAAATGGCAACATTCTTTTTGTTGTTTAGAAAACAATTTTATCTTACAATTGACCTTCTTCTATGTGTTGGGCTGAGAAATGGGAAAACATTGGTAGATAAGACAGATAAGATCATTGACCCCGAGACACAATCTAGTGGCTCCACCATGAAAATACATGTCTGTATGTTGGACTGACTTCTTCTTGTGGCTGAAAGCCTTGAGGCTTATAATAGTATTGAAAGTGCGGGCATACCCAGCACTTTGGGAGGCCGAGGCAAGAGGATTGCCTGAACCCAGGGATTTGAGACCAGCCCAGGCAACTTGGTGAGACCTCATCTCTACAATATATCAACAAATTAGCCAGGCATGGTTGCGCATGCCTGTAGTTCTGGCTACTTGAAAGGCTGAGGTGGAAGGACCACCTGAGCCCAGCAGCTTGTTGCTGGAGTGGCTGTGAGCATGCCACTGCACTCCAGCATGGGTGACAGAGTGAGACTTTAGGGATCACTATAAGACATAGGGAGGTGGTTTACAGTTTGGGACCTTTTGAGGATTTTACTGCTATCAATGTCCTTTACTCAAAGACTACCAGGAACACACTCATAGTTAAACAAATTGGGTTTATTTTATGGTGCAGCAAGGGAGAATACATTTCTCTTAAATGTCTTAGTAAGAGGGGTTAGAAAGTATGTACTGTAAGATTTGTGCTTTGGTTGGGTGATTTTAGAATGGATCTGTGAAAACAGGTTGAATTAGTTTCCTAGGCCTTCTTTAACCAAGTACCACACATTGGTTGCTAAAAACAACAGAAATTTATTCTTTCACATTTCTGGAATCTAGGAGTCTGAAATCAAGATGTCAGCAGGGTCATGTTCTTTATGCAGGCTTTGGGGAAAAAATTCCCTGTTTCTTCTTAGCTTCTGGTGTGCTGGCAGTCTTTGGCATTCCTTGATTATAGATTTATCACCGCAGTCTCTGCCTTCATTTTCCTTATTTGTCTGTTTCTAAGTCTCTCTCTCTCTCTTTATAAGGACACCAGTCACTGGATTTAGGGCCCAACCTAATCTAGTAAAACCTTATCTTAACTTGGTTATATCTACAAAGACCCTATTTCTAAATAAGGTAACATTCTGAGGTTCTGAGTGAACATTTTTTTAAAAATAGGCTTTATTTTTTAATTTTTTTAAAGAGCAGTTTCAGGTTCACAGCAAAATTGAGGGAATAATACAGAGACTTTCCATATAACTCGACTTCCCATATGCATAGCCTGCTCCAATATAAATATCCCCACCAGAGTGGTATCTTTGTTGCAGCTGAAAACACATCATCATTACACAGAGTCCATAGTTTACTTAAGGTTCACTCTTGGTGTTATATATTCTATGAGTTTTGACAAATGTATAATGACATGTATCGACCACTATAATATCATACAGAGTAGTTTCACTGCCCTAAAAATCCCCTGTGCTCCATTGATTCACTCCTCCCTTTCCCTTAACCCTTGGCAGCAACTGATCTTTTTCTAATCAGCCACTGATTATTTTTTCCATAATTTTGCCTTTTGCAGAATGTCATATAGTTGGAATCATGCACTGTGTAGCCTTTTCTGATTGGCTTTTTTCATGTAATAATATGCATTTAAGTTTCCTCCATGTCTTGTCATGGCTCAAGAGCTCACTTCTTTTTAGCACTAAATAATATTCCATTTCTGGATATGCTAGTTTATGTAACTACTCACCCACTGAAGGACATCTTGGTTGCTTACGTGTTTTGGCAATTATGATTAAAGCTGTTGTAAACATTCATGTATACATTTTTGTGTGGACATAAGTTTTCACCTCCTTTGGGTAAATATCCAGGAGCTCAATTCAGTTGCTGGATGTTTAATTTTATAAGGTACTGCCAAACTGCCTTCCAAATAGACTGTACCACTTTTTCATTCCTGCTAACAATGAATGAGAGTTCCTTTTGCTCCTCATTCTTGTGTGTGTGTGTGTGTGTGTGTGTGTGTGTGTGTGTGTGTGTGTGTGTGTGTGTGTGTGTGTTTTGTTTGTTTGTTTGTTTTTTGAGTTAGAGTCTCACTCTGTCACCCAGACTGGAGTGTAGTGGCACGCTCCTGGCTACCACAGCCTCAACCTGCTGGGCTCCGGCAATCCTTCCGCCTCAGCCTTCCAAGTAGCTGGAACTACAGGCACACGCTACCACGCCCAGCTAATTTTTGATTTATTGTAGAGATGAGGTCTTGCCAAGTTGCCCCAGCAGTTCCTGAACCCATGGGCTCAGACAATCCACTCACCTCGGCCTCCCAAAGTGCTGGGATTACAGGCTGAGCCACTGAGCCCAGCTGCTCCTCATTCTTACTAGCATTTAGTGTTGTGAGTGTTATAGATTTTGGCCATTGCAATAGGTGTGTAGTGCTTCATTTTAATTTGCATTTCCCTGATATATGATGTGGAACAGCTTTTCATAGGCTTATTTGTCATCTGTATACCTTTTTAGGTAAGGTATCTGTATATGTCTTTGGGTCATTTTGTTGCTGGGCTGTTTGTTTTTTATTGCTGAGTTTTATGAGTTCTTTGTCTATTTTTTTATTCTGTGTGAAATCTGCTATAATCTTTGTATATTTTGGATAACAGTCCTTTATAAGATAAGTCTTTTGAGAATATTTACTCACAGGCTGTGGCTTGTCTTTTCATTCTCTTGACATTGTCTTTTGCAAGGCAGAAGTTTTTAATTTTAATGAAGTCCAGCTTATCATTTCTTCGTTCCATAGATCATGGCTTTGGTGTTGCCAGCATGTCATTGCCAAATCCAAGTTCATTTACATTTTCTCTTGTTTTCTAGTTTTGTGTTTTACATTTAGGTTTGTGGTCCATTTTAAGTTAATTTTTGCAAAGAAGTTAAGGTCTGTGTCTAGATTTATTTATTTATTTTTTGCATGTGCATGTCTAGTTGATCCAGCAACTAGACTTTGTAGAAAAGACTACTTTTTCTCCATTGTGATGCTTTTGCTACTTGGTCAAAGATCAGTTTATTGTATTGATGTGACTGTTTCTGAGCTCTCTGTTCTTTCCCATTGATCTGTTTGAACATGAATTTTGGGAGGACACTGTTCAACCTAAGATGCAGGTGGTCACTTTAAATTGGTTGCTGAAAGAAAGTGGAGGCAATTCTATTATTGAGTATGTTGTGGGTGGGCACTTTAAATTGGTTGCTGACAGAAAGTGGAGGCAGTTCTATTACTGAGTATGTTGTGGGTGGCATAGTGCCTTTCAACAAAATTTTGAAGTAGTCTTATTTTATTTTGTCATGATCTCATAATAACTTAGCCCAAACACGATATTCTTTAAGATTGTTTACGTTCAGAAGAACAAAATATGATGATCAAATCAGCTTGTAATAATATTGATGTTAAGACAGGTGTGGTGGCTCACGCCTGTAATCCCAACACTCTGAGAGGCGGAAGCAAGAGGATCACCTGAGTCCATAGGTTCAATACCAGCCTGGGCAACTTGGCAAGACCTCACCTCTACAATAAATCAAAAAATTAGCCAGGCATGGTGGCACACACCTGTAGTTCCAACTACTTGAAAGGCTGAAGTAGAAGGATGGCCTGACCCCAGCAGGTCAAGGCTGCGGTGGCCGTGAGTATGCCACTGCACTCCAGCCTGGATGACAGAGTAAAACTCTGACTCAAAGATAATAATAATTATATTGATGTTTAGGTGCAAATATAGATCAGTTCTGTAAATCAGGGCTGCTTCCTTCCCTCCCACTGCTGTTTTGTTTTGTTTTTAAATAAGTTTGACATCTATTTTGTTGCAGTTAAACTCACACTTTTCCATCTTTAGAGTATCAGAAGACCAAAGTTTTGGTTCTGTTTTGTGGAAATGTTTGTGGCTCTTCATTGTTTTCCCTCACAATATGCCATTCTGCATGTGCAGGGTACCCATTACACACACCCTATCTGATCTCCCAGTGGAAACAGGAGGAGGACCTGGAGACAATCAAGAGAGAACTTCTCCATGGCATCTGTACAGGAGAGCATCTGGAAGGCAAGAATCCTTGGGAGAAACTGTCCTGGATGGGGGAAAAAAATAAAATGAAAACCAAACTGTTTATCTGAGAAGACTGATCTTCCAGAGATCTCTCAAATTACTATTTGGACTTGTTTTTTTCTTTTTGAGTCAGAGTCTCACTCTGTCGCCCAGGCTGAAGTACAGTGGCATAATCATGGCTACTACAGCCTCGACCTTCTGGGCTCAGGTGATCCTTCCACCTCAGCCTTCCAAGTAACTGGAACTAAAGGCATGCACCACCATGCCTGGATTTTTTTTCTTTTTAATTATTGTAGAGATGAGGTCTTGCCAAATTGCCCAGCCTGGTCTTGAACCCTGGGATCAAGCAATCCTTCCACCTCCACTTCCCAAAGTGCTGGGACTATAGGCATGAGCCACCACATCTGGCCTATTTCTGATTTTTTTATCAATCCTCTCATATTTTCCTTATTCTTGGCAAAGACCTTCCATGTTTCCCCTTTGTAAGTTAGCATTTGGTCAAGTGCTTTTTATCCAATTCCTTTCTCTTTTGTTTTCCTGATAATATCCTGCTTGTGTTAGTCTCAGTCTTCATAGAATATTTCTTAGTTAATTGCTTACCTTTTTGACCCCTGTGCCTATTAATACCAGAGTGGTAATGCAGTCATTCTGCTAAAAGTCTTTTGCTCACAAGTGCCTTTATTTTTTTTGTTTCAGGCTTTGAAACTCAACTGAAAACTAATGAATCAGTTGCTCCACAAGATATTTGTGGAGAAAAAATATCCTATGAACAGAACATAGTAAGATTCAAAAGGAATGATTTCTGGTCCTCCAGTTTACATGAAAACTGGGGATTCTGTGATACTGATTATCAGAACAGAAGCCATGACAAACATTTGAGGTGAGTGGCCATTTATGTAAGAGAAAGTAGTGTGTCTCAGGAGAGATTCTTAAAATTCATGAAATTTAAGAAACATGTTTTCATAAGCTTAAGTCAAAAATTGTGATTTCACAAAGAATCTTCGCAAAATATTTTTTCTACAAGTGAGATTGAGCAGTTGACTGATATATACTTCAATTATAAGCAATTATCAGAAAAATCCTATAAGCCAAAAACTCAGTGACAGTATTGGCTATGGTAGCACCATCTGTGAGAACTTTCAGCTTATAACTTGACAGGGCAGAAAACATACATATTCACTGAAAATGGTAAAAACTTATTACTAATAATGTGCCTTTTATTTTTAAAATAAGTCATATGGCGGAGAACATCTATGAACGTAATGAAGAAATTCAACATGGACAAACCTGCAGACAAACTCCAAATTTCGATACACTCAAGAGAACTACTGAAGTAAAATCCTATGAATGCTGTGAGTGTGGAAAGGCCTTCATGGATCATTCATCCCTTAAGAATCACATCAGGTTTCATACTAGAAACAAACCCTATCAATGTAAAGAATGTGGGAAAGCCTTCCGTTTTCTGGCTTGTTTTAAGAAGCATATGAAAACTCCCTTTGAGGATAAACCTTATGAATGTAAGGAATGTGCCAAAGCCTTCAATTGTTCCTCATTCTTTAGGGGACATATGAAGATTCATAGTGGAAAGACAAACCATGAATGTAAGGAATGTGGGAAAACTTTTAGTTGTTCCTCATCCCTGACAGAACACAAAAGAATTCACAGTGGAGATAAGCCTTATGAATGTAAGGAATGTGGGAAGGCCTTTAGTTGTTCCTCCTCACTCTCCAAACACAAAAGAATTCATAGTGGAGATAAGCCATATGAATGTAAGGAATGTGGGAAAGCCTTTAGTTCTTCCTCTCACCTTATAATACATATAAGAATTCACACTGGAGAGAAGCCTTATGAATGTAAAGAATGTGGGAAGGCCTTCAGTGAGTCTTCAAAACTCACTGTACATGTGAGGACACATACTGGAGAGAAACCCTATAAATGTAAGGAATGTGGGAAAGCCTATAATTGTCCCTCCTCCTTAAGTATCCATATGAGAAAACACACTGGAGAGAAGCCCTATGAATGTCTGGAATGTGGGAAAGCCTTCTATCTTCCCACTTCCCTTAATACCCACGTGAAAAATCAAAGTAGAGAGAAACCCTATGAATGTAAGGAATGTGGGAAGGCCTTTAGTTGCCCCTCATCCTTCAGAGCACATGTGAGAGATCACACTGGAAAGATACAATATGAATGTAAGGAGTGTGGGAAGACTTTTAGCCGTTCCTCATCCCTCACTGAACACTTAAGAACTCACAGCGGAGAGAAGCCTTATGAATGTAAGGAATGTGGGAAAGCATTTGTTAGTTCCTCCCACCTTACAGTACACGTAAGAACTCATACTGGAGAAAAACCTTATGAGTGTAAGAAATGTGGAAAAGCTTTTATTTATCCCTCAGCCCTTAGGATCCACATGAGAACGCACACTGGGGAAAAACCCTATGAATGTAAGGAATGTGGGAAAGCATTTCGTCATTCTTCGTACCTTACTGTACATGCAAGAATGCACACTGGAGAGAAGCCCTTTGAATGTCTGGAATGTGGAAAAGCCTTTAGTTGCCCTTCATCCTTTCGACGACATGTAAGAAGCCACACTGGAGAGAAACCCTATGAATGTAAGGAATGTGGGAAAGCCTTTGTTTGTCCTGCCTACTTTCGAAGACATGTGAAAACACACACTAGAGAAAACATATAAATGTAAGGAATATGGGAATGTCTGCAAGACTTCTTCAAATCTTAGACAACTTGCAAGATCTTATACCATGGTGACACCACATGAATGTAAGAAAGTAGGAAATTGTTGCTCATCTTTTTGAAGACATGACACCTGACAGAAACCCTGTATACGTAAATCATGTGGTAAAGTCTTCGTGAACATCACTTATCATGTATGAGAAAATTTCATACTAGAAATGAAGATTAGAGCATCATCCTTAATATGGGCTGCTGGCTCATTGATTTCTAGTGTTTTTTGGTATGAACATTTAATGTGATAAGTGTACCTTCTCAGCTCAAGCCACATACTTTTTAGTATGAGATGATTTAATTTTGGTTCAGATTTAAGTATTATTTCCATTCTAAAATATTCTGGATCCATAGAAAACTTGAAATATATATATATATATATATATATATATATATATATATATATACTCAATATATATATATATACATATATATGTATATATATATATACTAAAAAATATATATATATATATATATATGTATATATATATATATTTGAGTTGGAATCTCACTCTGTCGCCCAGACTGGAGTGCAGTGGCTGCTCCTGGTCACCACAGCCTCGACCTGCTGGGCTCCAGCGATACTTCCACCTCAGCCTTCCAAG